AGAATTGGAGATAGTAGCGGCAGGAAAGCCCGAGGTATCAGTGGGGGTGAAATGAGGAGGGTGAGTATTGGGCTGGAGCTTATTGCGAGTCCAGATGTCTTAATTTTAGATGAACCTACTTCCGGTGAGGATTCTTCGGGTCTGTTGACGTTAGGATCTGCCTAAAATATCACCGTCTAGGTCTTGATTCGGTATCGGCTGCAAGGGTTGCAAATGTACTTCATTCGATAGCCCATGATCCTGAGACGCCAACTGCCGTGATTGCTTCTATACATCAGCCTAGGTATTTGTTTCTTCGTCTCGGTCGATTGCATTGTCCTAATAACTTTCATAATAGCTCCCAACTTTACCAAACCTTTGATACTATCCTCGTCCTTGCTCACGGCCATGCCCTGTATACCGGTCCTGGGGCATTCGCTCCTGTAGATTACTTTGCCCAAGCCGGTCCCAACGTTGCTCCAGCGTATCCACAAGGATACAACATTGCCGACTATCTACTAGAAGTAGCAAGTGATCCACCTTTGGCTTTATTGTCCTTGCAGCGATCGAAGAGTGAAACTGGTTCAGAGCAAAGATCTATTGGGACGATGGGCCGGGAAAAGACTGATGCGATTGGTCAAGTGGAGGATGCAAGAACGAACGAGAAGACTGTCCATCTTGCAGCGTCGGGCACTCAAAAAGCGACCCCAGGGAAACGGAGGTGGTTTTCTGCGGTTGGAATTGAATCTCAAACCTATGCAACAACATTCCTCACTCAACTGGAATGCCTTTGCGGTAGAGAATGGAAGATTCTTAGAAGGTCAGAACTAAGCTTTTTTATGTTCGATCGGCTGACGATGGATGACTTGCGATAACGCAGAGACAAAACGTTGTTCCTTACTCATGTCGCTGTCGCTGCAGTACTGGGTGTCTTTTGCGGTGGCTTATATTTCCAGACAGGCACCACTATTGCTGGTTTCCAGTCAAGAGTCGGGTGTCTGTTTTTCCTGGTAAGTCTTTTCATTCCCTTCTTCCTTACTCTTTGTTTAATTTAATATGCAGGGCGCGCTCGTAGCGTTTTCTTCATTGAGTGCATTGTATAACATTGTGGAGATACGACCGCTGTTCCTGAGGGAGAGGTCAAGCTCATACTACAGGTATGTGCCTCTAATAATGTTACCCATCCTTCACTGAAGCATCTCTTTGCTAGCCCAACTACTTGGTTACTCTCTCGTTTCATCTTTGACGTAGTTCCACTTCGGATCATCCCTACTCTAATCGTCTCTACTATGTCAGTTTCCTCATCGTCCGTAGATTCTCACTGAACATTTTGCAGCACATATTGGATGGCAGGGCTTAGCGGAGACGCGGCTCACTTCTTCAAGTTTCTTTTCATACTGGTTCTGTATACGCTCGTCATGACTTTATACGTGAGGAAACACTGATATCTCGTCTCTAAGCCTCGCGTTTAAGTCATCTATTTTCAGAATTTCTTACTGGGCACCTTCTTCCACAATGGCGGGATTGCCATCCTTCTCTCCGCCCTCAGTGCCCTTTACCAGATGACTTTTGCTGGGTTTTTCGTCCATCTCAGTACCATTCCACCCGTGCTTAGATGGCTACAGTGGTTATGCCCTCTAAAGTACAATTTAGAAGCACTTTCCGTGAACGAAATTGACGGCGGGTTGATGATCCAAGATACACTATCGGGTGTCCCTGTAAATGTGTCTGCAACGTTGATTATGCAATTGGTACGTTTCTAATTGTGCTCGAATCAGTTCTTCGTGTATATGCTGAGTCGTTCATACAGTTGTTCGGTTTTGGGATCAACAACTACTATCGGGACGTTCTCATTTTGTTTGGGTTTATTGCTGGATTTGGATTGGGAGTCATCGGAGTTGTATGGTTTAGGGTCAGGGAACAACGGTGAACTTCTTTCTATGTTCTGGAAAGGATAGGATGGTATATTTCTTTCGATCTACGTTGAGTGTTCTTGTAGTTCTTGTACAAATAGATTGGTCTCGTGTGATATTCTTAGGTTGAAACACCTTCGATTTTTTGTTTCGGCTGAAGTGAAAACTTTCTCCATCTACCCGACTGCATCTGTTTTGGGTTGATTATCCAAGTTACTGTTGAAGCTAAAAATGATTCCCCTCTCACTGTGCTCACTTCAAACCGTGAAGCCGGCGTTGAAGCAAATCTAATAGAAATACAATACACAAAAGGCATAGCGAATCGTGGACCGCAGCGCGACACTCAATCCTTCCTGTCGTCAACGATGATGTCTCTGCTTCCTTCTTCACTGTCATCAGCGCTTCTTTTCCTTTCGCCGTTCTCTGCTCGGCGCAATCCTCCAACATCGTAGTCTCCAAGATAAAAGTAGGTCGCAGGGAGCGCAACGAAAAGTGCACCAATGATGTTACCAAGGTAAGAGGCAATCAGAGATCTAAGGAAAGGTACGATCATACTAAGTTAGGACACATCATTGTTCTCAAAGCTAAGAATAAATCATTCAACGCACTTTCTAATGTACTCCGCTACCGTGAGCTGGTTGAAGAGAAATTGTTTAAAGTCTCAGCAAAAAACAGTGTCGTTCAAACTAAATTCAACGTGTGTATGCACTCACATCAGCTCCAAACATGATACCCAATGGTACCGAAAACATGTTTGCAACCACTAATCATAGATAAATTTTTAGGGTTCCGAATCCTCTCAAAAGAAATCTAATTGACTCACCGTGATCAAAAGCACACGCGACAAAAATCCAAATCGGGATCCAGATAGCAAAAATCTAGAGTAAAAATACGTTTGAGACCCTTGTGTTTTTCTTTTGGAGGGCGGAGGGGGAAAGGACGAATGTTTACCCACCTTTGAAATGGTATCCTTTGCCCCTGCAGCTTGCTGCGATGTCACATATAATGCTCAGTTCAGACGAAGTGTCTCCGAAGAAAATTTTCTGAAGAAACAACTAAAAAAAAACTCACCCAGACTGCGATACAGACTAACCAATTACAACCTATGCCACGAAGGAAAATTTGATGCCATTGAGGATCTGCAGCTTTGTGCCTTATTCAAAAATTCTAAGTTTAGTCTTCTTTCGTGGAGAACTTGTTTTCGTGACATACAAGGCAAACGTTCTGATATAAGTGATATAGGGTTCCGTGGAAACGATTCCGGAATCTAAAAGCAGAACGAATCGGAATGAGCCACACACACGCACCGTTGAATCAAACTGATAAAGACCACCTACACTTGACTAAAATGGCGGCAAAGAACAATGAACCCACGAGATTTCCGAACGTCACTAGGAATAAGATGTTCAGCGCTTTAATCGAACGATAGGTCCAAAAAAAAAATCCAATGACCTACCGATTATCCAGTTCACCGGCAGACTCCACCATGGAATTGCCCCTTTAAGGATAGCCATTGGGAAAACCTAAAAGGTAAGGTTTGGAACGAAGAGCGGCCATACGATTAATATGATTGAAAGGCGAGCGGTGTAAAGAATGAATCAGCGAGTAGTAGGGTCCTCACCATCATGTTGCTCGTCAATAGTTCATATCCATTTAGAACGATCCTATTCAACCAATCCCCCCGACACATATAGATGTCAACTTGAAACGTCCACACGCCCGACTCATTGAAGGGGGGAAAAAGAACTTTTGTTCCTACTCACATCACCAAACCTACTGGGAACACGAACCCTCCCAAGATTTTCACGATCCCTGGGTTGTTAGTGTTGATTCCAGCTGCGCCGCCGGATATAATCTCCGATAGCAGGCCACCAAAGGACAGCATGACACCCGCTAGAAACTGCCAAGGTTCATTTAACAATTGTTAGTACTTTAGAAAAAACCAATAAACCCTTGGCACGGTGATAGAGGACTTACAGCTTTGAAGAAGACCTTGTCAAAGCGATCCCTATGCTTTGCCACAGCATATTCAACCATGTTGACTGCCACTACAGCCGGCTTGAGCGTGCTTGAGGTATCCATTATTCAACCTTTTGACCTGAACTCGGGAAGGACTCGTTATGACGGAGCTCGGACGCGTTGGGGGAGGGGTCAAAAGAAAAAAATTGAATACGTCAGAAGCCATGGTTTATATACCTGTAAGGATCACAAGCTAATGTGTCTTCGGCTAGAACGGCGCTGTGAATTGATAGAACAGGTCCCCGCATCTCCTAGGACTAGTTTTGTTTATATGCCGCATTGGTACATTGTATTAACTGCAATCTATGGGAACTCTTTCAGGCAACGTTCCAACGCCGGCCCTATCAGAGAACACGGGAAGTCATTTTGAAAGCAAGAAATGGTCAGCCTTATATCCAGCAACGTATTGAAGAAACCAAAAGGTAATGTGGGGAGGAGCAAGCGAACAGTACACAAACACTTAAACACCATATCAGGAGAGCGACTTGCCCTGAAAAGACTTTCTATTCCCGTATATACCCCGGGTCCTCACGTACTCCCGGTCAAGCAGTTCCCCTGCGATGGGTCATATGGCACATCTGACTGACGTTAATCTATTTTTGCTCTGGCGTATTGTGCGTGGACAACCGTAGGGAACCAGTGGATCGTCACCTGAGAACCCTGTTGCGAGCTTTTGGGATGTCCTGAGAAGAAAAACAGTCCACCTACGTATACAATATCCGGATCACCTGTGTTCTGGTAGAGCCCTCACCGGCCGTGGTTGAGCTTGGGAGGGAACTAGGGACAACTGAAACGTGGGGAGAATCAACAAAGTGTTATAAGAACATCGAGAGAACTGTAGAGAAGATGGTTTGAATAGATAGGAACTTGAAGGAACCACGACAGATATGGTACAAAGAGAATTGATGATTGGGAATCGGCGTTTACAGTTACTGATCAAAACTATCCAGCGGGAAGACTCGGGAGATGGGATTGAAAGATCCGATTTGAGATAACGGGAAGGGGTCAATTCGGAAACGAGAAAGGAAAGTGGGGCATCAGATGATATCCTCAATAGTACCTGCAACGGAATGTTTTTTAAGATACATCGGGCACATGGTGTAGTTGGTTATCACATCCGCTTAGCACGTGAGAAGCACGTGGAGAGCACATGCTACTGCGGGGGGTGCTGGGTTCAATTCCCAGTGTGTCCAATTATGCAGCTTATGTGAACTCTTTTTTTGGATGACGGTATTATCGATTATCGCTCAAGTCTCCCCAAAAACTTGGCTTTAAATCCGTGTCTGGGAAACTCCAGAACCCGATTTGGCTCTGGCCAGAGCCCAATTAGGAAACACGACAAATCATGATTACACTCAGAACCTAATTTGGCTCTGAGGGCATGATGTGATAATTTTCGATGACTGTCAGAGCCGTTTTTGGTTCTGACATGTAATTCTGATTATGCAACACTCCTATTTGGGCTCTGGACACATGCCGCGATCAAATTCCAAACCTTAAACAGCACAATAGACCAAATCTGCAACGCGAAATTTGACCCATATTTTATTCATCAAACCTTAGTCAAATTTTTGTGGGCCCCGCTCGAAAATTTTGCAAGTGGAGCTTCAATGAAGTACGTCACGCACGAAAAAGCCCGGGCTCCTAACCACGAACAACCTTAAGCTAAACAGCTTTCAGTGTGAGGCTATCATGGGAAGTTGGTGATGAGAGAGTAGAGGTTGACAGTAAAGACTCGGGCGCCTGAGTCTAAGTACTGTCCATTTGCAGCGAGGATTATTCAACAGTGAAGGTATGTTGATTCGTAGATAGGTAAGATACTGGGCCTCCCTACTGCTGCGATGCTCCATTTCATTTTTGATTAGCCCCACGATATTTTATTCGTAGTTTTTTTTTAGTTTATTTTCTTGGGGCCGCCGTTTTTCGCGTTGCAGATTTGGTCTAATAGTCCTTTCCCGAATTTTTTTTGCTCAACGTCAAGTAATAGAGGTAGACCACCTAGAGTTTCAAATAAACCTGGTCATGCTGCAGGTGGGCATGTCAAAATTCGTGTCGCAACCGGCTGGTGCCTTTAAATCCTAGGGGATTCCAACAATTATGTACTTGTCACCTATATATTTGGCCATATCTCATGAACAGCTTCATATTTCTGCCTCAAGTAAGTTGTAGAATCAATGTATAGATTATCTCTTACCTTTTGATGCCCAAGTTGAGATGCTCCTGAATGTGCCCCTTCCATAACAGGCAATTTTCAAAAAATGCGGTTTTTCCAAGTCAATAAATGATTTTTTCAGCAAAATCTTTTAGTGCAATCTGAAAGAGAAGCATTAGAAACAGGGTTTGCAATCTACCCCATGTTGATAGCAATCAATTTGAGGGTGATATTTGAGTAGAGAACTTGAAAGTGCCAAAAATGGCATTTGTAGGCATTTCTCTTCAAATACCTCCTGCAAATGGCTAGTTATTGACATGGAGTAAATTGCTATCCCTGTTTTTGATGCATCTCTTTCAGATAGCACTAACAGATTTTGCTGAAAAAAATCATTTGTTGACTTGGAAAAACCACATTTTTGAAAATTGCAATTATGGAAGGGGCACATTCAGGAGCATCTCAACTTGGGCATCAAAAGGTGAGAGATAATCTGTACATTGATTTTACAACTTATTTGAGGCAGAAATATACAGTCATTCATGAGATATGGCCAAAAATACAGGTGACCATTCACTACCTTTCTCACTCAAAGAAGTGGCATTGACAAAAAGTTTGTTAAGGGTCAAGTGTGTAATATGTCTTGGACAATAGTAAAAACTGCAGAAACAAAGGATCCCAGAGTTATAGATGTGTATTATTATGACTTACACAGAGCATGATTGTGTATGTACATTAGAAATAATAACTCCAGATGGAAAAATTCATTCATCCACATTAAGATGTAAGAAGAATACAGAATTGAAGTACTAAAGACTATGAAACAGCATCCAAAAAAATTGTCTATGTCAATAATTGAACTCTCATTAGTATCCAATGTAGTATGACAATTAACCACTTCACCACGAAGTCATTGGCGAAGTTGATCATTTGATGATCAAGACTCCCAGGGTTAATTTTTGAAAACCGCGGGAGTTCCCAGACATGGATTCAGAGCCAAAAACTTCAGTTTACCTCTTGAACAGAGGAGCTTCTTTTCCTTATCTCGTATGGACGACGACAAAACAATACTGTTAGGTGTTGACTAACAACCCATGATGCATGATACATAGAACACTAGTACTCGAATCTCTCATGAATGTTCGACGTTTTATGGCCATTAGCTTGCTCTCACTCCTAGCCAACCAGCAAGGACCACTTTTTCTTGAAGTTGGAGGTCTAACTCACCATATCAACTCAAATTAACGTAAGAATCATCTTTCGGTGTTTGCCACAAATCTACAATCGTCCTGAATTTATCGGGTAAGTCGGATATGTTTACTTAAGTTAATGTGTACCGGTCATTAGCGCCTATCTTCAACAAGTGGGAATAGGGAATACTACTAATAGGATCAACTTTTCTGTACTGGTACATGCATACATGTGTAAAGTAACATTGACGTCAAGGACAGTAAACGTAAAAAGTTAAAATAGTACAGTGTGTATGTGGTGGGTTTAGCTACATCGATATGTCATTTCGCGACAAGAGCATAAAAAAGAGGAAAAAGTATGTGTTTATAGACTTTTAAGCGAGTATACAAAGTTCAGAGTCGACAGGAAAAGAGAAAGACAACAGCAAGCGGACAAAAATGACTAGAGGGAGAGAAAAACAAAACAAAACAGAATGATACGTTGAACAGGGAGGAGGTTACCTTGTTACAATACGATAAGTAGAACAACAACGGAGAGAGCAGTATGATAAATGACGTTTTGAACAGAAAAACTTAAGCGAGGCGGGGAGCAGTGAAAGATCATTAGTAGAGATGTAAGCAGAGAAATTCGAGATGGAAAGAAAAGTAAGTAGAAGCAAAGGAAGCAGACAAGGTAAGATTTTAGAGATCAGAATCGATAGAAGGAAACAAAGAGAGAAGAGTGACAACGAAAACAACAAAAATGTCGAGATAAACTTTTTCCTACTTATCGTAGTGGATTTCGTATCTCAGGGGGCAGTGGCAACATCGGTTTTAACGCTACCCGTGTTCTCAGTCGCCTGGTCTTCTCTCTTCCGATGTTTACCGTTGCCCTTCTCAGCTCGTTCTTGTTGCCCATTCTGATGATGATGATGCCTCCTCCCGAAATTCGCATGGTGCAACAACCCTCCATGTCCACCGCCACTACCGACAACCCCACCAGGAACATACAAAGCACCCCGATTATGCGAACTCCTCTCTTTCCTCCTCTGATGTGTCGCAGCGGGGAAAGGTTCGGGTAACCCCTGTTCAGGACCAGGTTCAGAGTAGAAAATTTTGGGTTGCCACGCTTCTCGCTCGTCCATGATGCACGAGTTTTTGAACTTTTCCACGAGGGCTTCTTTGCCTCTGTAGTGAGGGAACAGATGACCGAGTCGGCGTTAAAGGGCAGCAATCGGAACAGGAAGAAGGAAGCAACGGAAACGAGGACGATCAGTATTCATTCCTCTAATTAACTTTGACACCGAACGAATGAAGAACGAAGCAAAGAGGTAAAAAAACGCACTGATAATTAGCATAACTCATCTGAAGAACTTTCTCACTCGAGAACATGTTCCTGATCCAAAAAAACTTTTAACTGGGTGCAACGGAGGAGAAGAATAGGAACGTACCATTTTTCACCGAGACATTTCTTAGCGAACGTCAACAGATCCTGGACGGTGATAAAGTTGACAAAGGCATAACCGACATTACAACCTATATATATATGTGTGCGGAAACGTGTTAGTGGACCGAACCGAAGATTAAAAAAGAACAGAAAAAATTAGTATGACTGAAAAACCATACACATCGATATGTACTCACCATTCGAAAAATCCATCCTCAAATAAAGAAAATCGATCCTCCTCGGAACAACTTTGTTTATATACGAGATCAAATCTTTATCAGACATCTTATTGGGAATATTCTTGATCATGATCGTCGTTCGAGTATCCTGTCCGTCCTCGATTTTAGATAGGTTCAGCTGGTTTCGCTCCGAGACATCTTTACTAACTCCTCCTGCGTGAGAGTCGGCCTGGGAATCTGGTCCGGAGGTAGAGGAAGCTTGAACTGTTGGATGATGGTACTGCCGAGCTTGTAGATGGGTATGATGACGATAATGAGACTGGGAGGTGGTATTGACGGACTCTTGGGCGGTCGGAGCAATAGCGATAGTGGCAGAATGTTCTAACCCTGGATCAGCGTTTGGATTTGAGAACATAGACATTTGAGCTTGGTCAGTCGGAATATGAACAGGGGGAAAATACGACGGAGGCTGTTGTCCATGGTTATGCACAAGTCCATTCATCTGTTGCTGTTGTTGTTGGTGAGTGAGAGGGGGAGGAGATATAGGCACGACATAAGGTGCCAAACTATGTGGAATCCCTGTTGTCGGATTGATCGTAGGACACCAATATTCGGTGCCAGGATAGGTCGAGCCATGGGTAAAAGTAGGGTAAACAAGATTCATATTCGAATCAAAAGTCCAAGGAGCGACCATACCCATACCCATGCTGATAGATTGGCAGGCCGCGAGATGAGGGTCATACTCGTACGTAAAAATGTTTCCGGGGTGGTGAGGAGGGAACATGGGTTGAACAGTAGTGGCTGCCGCTTGGGGATGAAGGACGTAGCTCGGAGGGGGATGGAACGGCACTTGGGGAGTCGCAGGAGGAGCGTAGTAGTGATGTACAGCGCCGCCCTCTGGAGAAGAAAGTGGAGAATAGATCTGCTGGGTAGCGTAGTAAGGAGAAATTTCTAGAGGAGCCAAGGGGGGAACAGCAACAGTAGAAGGACGTGGATCACAAGGAGTCTGGGATGGCGCCTCCAACTCAGTGGGTTGAATGCTGGAATTGGATTCTTGAACGTCTTCCTGCCGAACAATAGCAGTCGTCTCTGGCTGTGGCGCCACGGTCGGATTATAAAAGTAGGCAGGCGACATGGATCTGTCATCTGTGGTTGATAACGGGCGAATGGCGGCGATGGTATCCTCAGCGGTAGTAACGGTGCCGGTGTCCGGGACGGCAGGAACAGGGGAAGTGGACTCGGGAGGATC